TGTCATTTGCAGCAGCAAATGTTGTACAGCCGGTCCCCGAGTTGCAAACGGTCGACTTACGACTGTTCGCAGTTACGACTGAAGCTGTCATAAATGGTGGACCCCGAGTTACGAATGCGATCCGTGCTTATGAACAGCTCGGTCACATGTAACTCTATGAGGTCTGACTTACGAACAAACCGAGTTATGACCAATTGCTTGGTCCGTAACTGGTTCATAAATCGGGAAGAGGCTGTATATGCTGACCCAACTTTGCTAACACCCTCTGTATTTGTCTGAATTGATGCCCCTGATTATGAGCATTATTTAATTCTGTTAACACACCAGCAGGGCTCGACAGATAATACAATCTACTCGCCTGTGGCAAGTAGATTGCAACCCGGAAGAGCCGGGTTCGGGCGATCTGCGCATGCGCAGATTGCCGGACAGTGCAGCAGTTCGAGCCCTGCACACCAGTATGTCCAAAGGAGTTGTACAGACTTCAAGAAGATAGCTCCTCAGCTCAGAAACTTACCTTAACTGCATTAAGTATCTATTCTAAATTAACAGGCAAGTTTAAACAGTCCACTAGTTATATAGGTAAAGAAAGTGACAGAAGTTCTGTTTGCAAGCTACTATACTATTTCCAGTTAAGTGGTATATTTGTACAGGCTGAACCTCTCTAGTCCAGCAATATCTGTAGTCTGGCATGATTTTAATTAGCCAGATGTCCACTTATCATGGATATGGCCAGGTTTCCTGTGGTCCCATAAAGTTTATTTATAGTCACCAGTCCTGGCTCTTAGAGCTCCTTGCTGCTGTTTTATCTCTAATTTACCCCTAAATGTATAAGAGCCCAGTGGCAATGTTGGTAATGCTGCTAGACGATATTGACCTCCCCTAGTTCAACAAATTCTTTGGTTCAGCACTGGTTAGATCCCGAGGGTGCTGAACTAGAAAAGTTCATCCTGTACTTTAAAAAATAGCCTCAGAAGTAAAATATGTTATAGCAGTTGTTAAAACTGCTTATCTTATTATTTTTCCTTCTTATTGTGAATGTACATCTAATAGTATCAAAATGGAAGTGCAGATTTCCTTCTAACCAAAAATAGAAACGTGAGTCACTGGACTGCTGAAACTTAGTGTGGGTGCCTGGATGTAATTTTGCAATAACCTAATTTCTTAACTCAAGAATAACCAATGCTGTAATCACAGGAAGATGGGATGATCTAATAGGACTAGAAAATACCTTACTTCTATGAGGCTTCTTTTGGAAGAAGCTTTTCCGGAAAAGATCTTCTGAAAACTTCTTCCAAAAGAGAGCGTTCGCATGCCAAAGCGCATTGAAAAAGTGATCTTTTTTTGAAAGATAGCAGCATCCATTCAGTGTGGACACCTCACATTTTAAGCTGTGATTACTATGGATGGAATGGCCTCCAGGGCACCTGTGCTTTTTCCTGAGGCCTCTTCTTTCAAAAACTCCCTCTTTCCTATACCCACATGTCTTTTTCCAAAAGAGCTCTTTTGGAAAAAGGCATCTTCCTTGTAGAAAGAGGTTTCTGATTACTTTGGACAGAGTGGCCACCAGGGCACCTATGTTATTTTCTGCAGGCCTCTTCTTTCAAAAAAACAAAACAAAACAAAACACTGTTCCCCATTCACACATGCCTTTTTCTGAAAGAGATCTTTTGGAAAAAGGCTTCTTACTCATAGAAAGAGGTTTACCAATGTCGGAAAAAGCCCTCCATTCTTTCGACAGTTTGGCGAAAGAACGTGATTGCAGTGTGGACATAAGTGTAGGGAGTGTGGTGAGTGGTGTTTTTTTAATTTTTTTTTTAAAGAAAACAGATGTTTTTCCGACAACTCTGTAGTGCAGACATAGCTGACTGGTGTGTTTGGCCTGCAGTATCAGATCCATGTTTTCCTTTTATTCCTTTAAGGAACATTACTACTGGGTTTTTTTATGTGTGTGGCATTTTGTTTTGTTTTTTAAATATTGTTTAGCTCTGCACTGAAGGTTCATTATCGCACAGGAAAGGTGTTAAGTGTTATCAAGTACTTCACAACAAACTTTTTTTTGGTCAAAGTTTTATTCATCTGAAGTTTGATATCTTCTATAGTATTTTCTGTCCAAAGATCTCAAAGTCAGGGTGGATTTGGTTTAAATCACTAGTCAGGAAGACTCCATTTAATCATAGTTTTCTACATAAAAGTGTATTCTTGTTGGTTAGTATGACCTTAATATGTATTCTTCAGCTTGGATGTTGGTTTCATTTTTAGAAGGGACACACTGTACACTTTTAAAAATAAAAGTCACTGTTTAAAACTTTTCAGATTAGTTGTACAACTATATGAGAAAATGAGAGAGTGGTTATTTCATTTAACAAAGGTAATTGAAGCAGATAATTATGAAGTCATTGGGAGGTGAACTGTCTACAATTCAACAAGTTAATCGATTAATATTTGGAGGATTTTTCTTGCTATGCTGTATCAGGAGAAGAATATAACCAGACAGATATTTAAATTATTTTATTTAACAAAAACAACATTATGTAATCTGGATTTTTTTTTTTTCAAAAGCAAACATTTTAACAAAAAAAGCATGTGAATTTTGAGTTAAACATTCACGTTATTTTAAAAACAGGTTTGTTTTCATTAACATTGTTTTATAGTAGATTTCACAGCTAAAACTATTTTAACTGTGTCAACCAGATCAACATGATTGGCTTCTGCAGCTAACTCATTCGTCTTCACCTTCATTTGCCTTTTTGTTTTGCCTGGAAGAGGAAAAACAAGCTTTTTCTGCTTTTTCAGATCCCAAATAATTTCTCACTTTGGCATGAATTAGTCCAAAGGAAGAAAATATTCTTTCAACCCCAGCAGAAGACACTATTGCTGTTAAGTGAGATTATCATTTCATCAGTCTATGAATTCAAGTGCTTAAGCCCTTCTCTACACACTACCAAGCCCGTTATTTTGAAAGAAGGGGCTGGTTATTTCGAAATAACTCCTGCTTTCCACAAGGAATAATGCTTATTTTGAAATTGCTATTTCAAAATAACTTTAGTAGGGACACTCCACTGCTGTTATTTCGAAATAACTACTCCCCAGCATCATTCAAAGTAATTACTCCCAAGTGCTGCCCAGGGGCTCTAATTTGAGGTAGCGCATCCATATTAAGGGAACCTGCCTTGGACAAATTTTGAAGCTTCCTTGTTGAGTGGATGTGCTGTTTTGAAATAGTTATTCCAAAATAATTTCCTAGTGCAGATGTGCCCACTGACTTCCACCAGGTCAGTCGTGTGACCTTTTTTTTTTTTTTTTTTAAAAAAAAACATCAGCAAACACATTTCTTGAATGGGTCCCCCTTACCTCTTAAGTTTATTATTGTTGGCATTATGGAGGAATGATTGCTGGATGCCCATGTCATAGCCAGCTCCTCTTCTTCAGTTAAGGTTTGACCTGTTATCAAGTATTGATAATAGAGCTTATCTCATTTGGGATTTTTTTAATACTTGTAATTGAACTCTGTACCTGCATTTTCTCTTAAGATTTCACTCATTTCCTTCCAGATTTCAACAGTATCAACAATAAAACCGCTATTTCCCTATGCTTTGTTCAGGGCTACAGAAATAGGCTTCAGAGTACTCCGTGTGTGTGTTCCACATTTCTCTAAGCCCAATGTTGAACTTTGGCTGTGACAGTGCCATCTGGGTTTTTTTTTTCCATGATTTTGTTCACAAACGGTCATCAGATTAGGCCAGTTTTGATTATAGTGCTCAAAACAGTCTCCTCCTGAGCTCCATCACATGTCTTGTGGGAGAGTTAGCTTGGTTCCTCCTGCTTTTTTCAGAGCAGCTGCTGCAAAGTTGTTGTTACTAGGGTTTAAAATGTGTTAAACCTGTAACCGCTGAAAACTTCATCAGTTTCACATTTACATGGGGAGAGAGAAGGAGGCGGAGACTTCATGAGAGCTGCCCTCCCCCCCCACCCCCTTCTCCTCCTCTGCTGTATTAGAGGCAGCAGTATGGGTGAGGGGGGAAGGCGGAAGTCTGGAAAAGCTGGTTTAAAAGCTGGCTCCCCCCTCCACCACCCTGCTGCCTATGTTTTGAGAGGCAGCAGGGTGGTTGTGGGGGGAGGGGTTGTATGTAAACGTGAAGGTTAACAGATTAGCTCAGACTCATTGGTTAACTGTTTACATGATCACATCCCTAATTGTTATGGAAGCATTTTGCAATTCCAACAACCTTAGCCTTCACTTCTGGAACATTGAAGGGTTTGGCTAGGAGGTGTATCAAATGAGCACTGCAACTGAATGTTGTTAGATTGGGGTTCTTCTCTCTCATTTGTGCAATGTTTAAGAAAAGTTTTGTAAATGAGTTCCAATATTTCATGAATGAGTGACCTAATTTTATGGGGTTCCAGAAACTTCTGTATAGATTATCTAGGTTAATCTTTCTATCTACCCAATGGGACTCAGACTAGAAAATATTAGTCTATTATCTCTGTTGCAGCTCATGGAATACCATAGGTCTTTAATTTGCAGTATACATTGAGCTGACAAAGAAATGGTGTGACAAAATGAAGCTGTGGTTTGAGCATGACTAGAAGCCTCTCAGTACAACATATTATAGGCATCTTTAATCTTCTTATCCATCAAAGTCTCTTTTATTAACTTTTTGCCCTTTTCCACACGTATATAGGGAACTTTTTTAGAAACTGGGCCAAGCAGAAATCTCAAAGCTTAGCATGGAGTTGTGCTCAACAAACTAGTACATCTGGACCAGTGAAGAAAGCCATTGGCCTTTCTCTTCTGTTCTTGGGAGATGACTTTTGTAGGACTGAAAACAGGTGTAGAGGTAGCTGTTCATGTTGCCTCAGGGGTCTGCTGACTATTGCTTGCAGAATAAAAGCCTGATACTATACCTATTGGAAATCGGTGGTAAAGCACTTATTGACATAAATAGGAGTGCACCTGCT